GCAAACATTGTAAGGATGGCACTGAACCGGGCATGTTCATTCTATTGTATGTAGGGTTCCTATGGGTCAGAACCAACTAGCTGGCACCTGACAACAACAGTATTGTCATCAGGAGCCCTAGTGACATGGTCGGTGAAAGAAGGACTGATAGCCAAGATTGGCGGACCAAACCCACTGGAACTAAGTGGAGGAAAGGTGAATTATCTGCTTTGTCAACTTGAAACCCCTCTATGAGTCATGATAGGTCAGAATCATCTTGATGGTAACTGGTTTTGTTTGCTTTCTTTTTAGAATTCCAGTCAATGATGAGTTAAGCATTGGACGGCTAACCACAGGTCTGTGGTCCAAATTTACCAGCCACTCTGAGGAAGAAAAGGGAGGATGTCTGCTCCCTTAAATATTTATATCCTCTGAAAGCCTGAGATTAGCCCATAAGTCTGATATTAATCCATAAATCCCTCTTCAGACTCATGCAGCCCATGCAATGATGCAAAACAGAAGATCACAGACCAGTGTGTGCAAAGATGCAGTGGAAACATCTTCAGGGCTCTCAAAGGTCTCAGCGTGATTCCACATGGCTTGTCAACAGGAGGTGAAAGCAGAGAGTGTGTGGCCTGCCTCTAGGGAGAAAGAGATGTTCCTAGACTCCTCATGAGAAGGCCACGCCCACAGGGAGGCATCATCAGTCTGTGACCTGACTGAGAGGCTAGACTCCACCCCTATACTTATTTATCAAGTTGACATCAAATTATGCAACTACCACACTATTGAATAATTATATTTTGTCCTGTAGGATTTACATGAATCAGATTTTGAAGACACAATCCAGGAGGGGAAAAATGAGGACCTAATGCCGGGGGTTTGGGTGGAGAGGAAATGGTTTGAGAATGATGTACAAATGCACTTTACACAATTGATGTGTGTATGGATTGCGATAAAAGTTGTATGAGCCCCTAATAAAATGATTTTTTTAAAAAGATTTTTCTTTTTTTCCACAATTCTAGACAACTACCCTTCTGTCAACCTGATATACATGATGGCTTGTGTAACTATGCTGCCATAATTTATTACTATGGAATTTTGATTATTAGCAGAGTGGTTTATGTGCTTCCAAATGATGGCAGACTAGGAAGAGAGGCCTACTGGTTAGCCAATGAAAATAGTACGGATTGTATGTGGTTCGTGCTTTGGGCACAGCATCAGGAGGAATCAACTCAGGGAGGGGAAGTCATGTAGGTGAAGTAGAGGGCAATCAAGAACAAAGGAGACCCTCCTTTGGATCTATGAACATAATCGCCAAGATCATGGATTCAACAATATAGGTGACCTTGAGCGTGAGGCATCAGACATTTTATTGTGTTGTACTTACGATTGCTATACGTTGGAGTCAACTCAATAGCAGCAGAAATCCAAAATTTCAGTTAAAAACGTTCACAATAGCTTGAAAGCTGTTGGCATAATGGTCACCGCAAAGTCAATACCAAGGAGCCCGAGTGTTAATCCAGACTCTGCCACTCTGCAGATGTGTGACTCTGACGTACGCACGTGCTTACTTGTCCTGTAAGGTATTGCTGATTAAACCTGACTTCCATCAGACACAATCCATGGGCAACAAACTTCTCTTCCCAAGAAAAAATCCCGGGGCCACGCTGGGCCAACAGAGGACTGAAAGAGCCCGTTTGTATTTGTGTCATTTGTGTGTGTTGAGGGCACTGGCCAGAGTTTAATCAGTTGAAGCTCATTCCAAGTTTCTATGGTTTCCTTTGGAACATCATTTTACTAAATGATCTAATGCTGCAGCTCTCATAATGAACTTTAAGATTAATTTCTTCTGTGAGTTCTTAGTTAGCAAAACGTTTTCCAAAGAATAATTATCAAACCAAGTTCTCAGTATCACATTGCCCCAGGACATTTTTTCCTACTGATTTGACTACTTGAAATAAAAATGTCTCTATTCACAAAAGACACCTTTTTTTGGTAGAAAATTCTACAAGGCCACTTTCTTGAGAGAACCAGAGTGTACAACTATTGGGATCCTAAATGTATCAGATGTTTGGCTTGACATAAAAAGGGATAAACTGAGGCAATCTCATGATTTCAAACTGTAGACTGAAATCAATTTCTATTTTGTGGAAATTATTTCTTACGTGTAATCCTAATGATATGAACATTTTCAATGATAGTTAAGCAGCATGTCTTAGATCTAAAATTATGATTTTCACTTTGAATGTAGGCAGTAATGAAAAAAACAATGATGTTTTATTTTACTGAGAAAAAAACCCTCAATGCTGGAAAGAAAATATATGCATGTCTCTATCATATTTTTTCATTTCAATACTTAGGCTTATCGGTCTTAGTAATTTTTATGAACTCTGCTGCTATCGATGTAAGGCCCATTCTATGAAAATGATGCTGTGGTGACAAAATACTATTGTAAATGTAATAAATGTAATAAATGAAAAGTCACCTATATCATATTGTGAAATAAATGAAAATATTACAAATGATTATAAATTATAAGTGGAAATATTATTATAGCCCAAATAAGACAAATCGCTTTTTTAAGCTTTGCAAATGTACAGTAAAATGTTACATATCATAGTTTTTTTTAATAGTAAAGGACACTTACCTTTTTTCTGGTAGAAACAAGGCATATCAGTTATATAATTCTCAAGTTCCTGCTTTAATTCTCCAGTTCCTGCATAATTCTCTAGTTCACTATGATCTTTTAACTCCTCAATTCTTTTTTATACTAATTCGGAGCCAAATTAGCTAAATGGATAAAATGGTGTGGAGCTCATAATCTCTCTTGATATGCCTCATTGATTAAAAAGTTACAAGAGATCAATGGCCAGTCATAGCTCATAATCCAGGTAGAGTTGGTCACAGTTCATGCTATATTCCTATACTGGTGAAGAAACCACTGATCCGAGTCTGCTACAGCCTGTGACGTCATTAATTGCATGCTGCTGCTCTACAGTCCATTGATAATCCGTTTCACCCCTGCTCCCTCTAATTTGTGCTATAACAAGGACAAGATCGTCTTTTTCATGTGACAGAGAAATCTGTTGCAAATTAGCATCTTTAGTGTTAATAGAAATCTTTTGTTAATGGCTTTGGAGTGTCAAAACTCAAAAACCAGGATTACATAGTTTTAGAGCAGTTTTTAAATCAATTGTGTAAGATGGGCCTTCAGGTGCCCATTCATAATAACGCTATTGATTGTGTATGTTAGAATTGTCTAATAAGCAAAGACATGCCATAGGCTTCCCTTCACATTTGACCCAATAGGTGGTCTGGTAGTAGTGGCAAGATGATTTTCTGCAATACACAAAAGATGAAAACTATTATTTCTGTTCTCTGGTTTGCATGCATTCAGAGTGGAGTGGAGTTTGGACCTGCTTAGCTATGTCACGTCTGCCTTTAAGACCCTAAAGGTGCCAGAAAGGCAAATGGCATCTTTCATTCACTTAATTTTGAATGTCTATTTCTGATGTTGCTGCTCAAATTGATTGCATTATTTATAATATTGCTGAATTATTAGTGGGAAAATTGAAAAACAAAACTTCACTCATGATTTTATCATTATGTGCTTTAGTAGCAAAAGTGCTTTTATTAAGGTCTTCAATGGTGAGGGGACTTCTGAGTTCATAGCTTGGCTAATAGGAGAAAAATGGGAGACCATGCGGCTCCCTGCTGCAAAAAGATGTGTTCAACACATAAGCTACCTCTCTGGGACCCCAGGTATTTCACCTTCATTGTGATTTTTCAACACGTGCTTTAAAATGATTTCTCAGTTTCAGTTGTTGTTTAACAGTGAGTCTTTAATCACCATTTTCTCTACCCCTACTGCATTAGAAGGATATTACTAGGCTCAAATATCTACTTTAATAGCACAAGAAGAGATAGATGAGGCAAAAAAAAATTCTGTATCATCGAGTTATCTATGCTATCCCTATTTCTCACTAAAACGTTAAACTTACTGCTATAGAGTCCATTCTAATTCATAGGGACCCTCCTGTCCATCAGAGCAGAAGTGTGCCTGTGTATTTCCAAAACTGTCCATCTTTACAGGATCAGGCACCTCATCTTTCTCCTTTGGGTGGCTGGTACGTTCCCACTACTCACTTTGCAGCCCAGTACAGCCCAATGCATAACCCACTATGCCACCACTGCTCAGGTGTCTAACTATGTTGTATTTCTAGACTATTGTTTAGTCACTTGGAAAGAGACTCTAAGACCTTTGGTGATGAGAACTATAAATACACAGGGAAGTAAGGGTAACACCAAGTATTAAGAACAATCATTAATAGGAAGAGCGAGGAGGCAAAACTCCTACACGGAGCAGCGAAGAGTTGAGGGAATTAGAAAAAAATTCCTTAACTGCCTCTCTTCAAATACTTTGACCAAAATTTCTCTCTCTGGGATTCCCTATCTAATCTTCATATATTAGATTTTTTTCACTCTGTCCCAATGCTTCCGACACTTTTTCTCCCTCTTTCCACCCCTCCCCCCCACTACCATCTGATTTGTTGTGTGAAATCAAATGGGTTAAGTCTATTAGCTTCTTCTTAGGTTCCATAACATCTTTTGTGGGAGTTCCATCTAATGTTATCCCGGAAATGAAAATTTAATTTATTAAATTATCAGTTATATACTTTTTATTTTACTATCATTTACATAATAGTTATATAATTCTTTTCATAATAATTCTATGCTCCCTTGAGGTAGTGCAGGAAGCTAACTATTGGGTTGCAAACTGAAAGGTTGATGGTTTGATCTCACCAGCTGCTCTACCAGGGGAAGAGGAGACCGTCTGCGTCTGTGAAGATTTACAACCTCAGAAACCGCAGGGAGGAGTTGTTCTCCTCTGCTTGGTACGACAGGGTCTCTATGAGCCAAAATTGCTCTGATGGCATGGAGTGGCTGGAGGTGGAGGGCAGAGGGGGAAATTCTGAAAAGGACCCCTTGGCATTTCTCTTTTGAATTGTGTTTCCTCCACCTCTTTCCTCTGGACAAACACCCAGCTTGCCTGACTTTAAAAGAATGTTTCTTTTGCCCTACTTGAATGACTGGTAAAGACCTAAGTCCAATTCACAAAATGAGTAGGGGGAGTGTCTCTTGAATATATTCATTATATGTATTTAAAATCTCTGATAGATGTATCCAGTTATTTGACCATCTATCAAAACCGATATCTCACATGTTGTCTTTCTTCAAGAAGGGTCAACTATCAATCTCTGATAAATAAATTGCATAAGTTGGTGCAATTGTTATTAGATGCCTTCAAGTCATTTCCGACTCATGTCAATCCTATGCACAACGGAGCAAAACTCTACCCGGTCCACTCCTATCCTCACCATTGTTCGGTTTGAGACCACTGTTTTGGCCCTGGTGTCAATCTGCCTTTGGGGGGGTCTTCTTTTTCGAGGCCCTTCCACTTTACAAGGCCAGGTGTGCTTCCCGAGGGTGGGGCCTGTTCTGGTAACATGAAGAAAGTACCTGAGATGAAGTCTTACCATTCTTATATCTAAGGAGGACACATTTGTTTGTTCTTCTGGCAGCCCTGGTACTTACTTCAGTAACTTTTACCAATTGCATAATTCAAATACAGGGTAGAGGTAAAGAATCTTTTATCTTGTGAGAGTCTGAGCCGTCAAGAGGCCTTTTAGAGTTTTTGTTAGCCTGTGTCTGCCTCTCTTGAGCATGGTCTCTTAAAATAAAGAAACCAAGTTTGTCCCTGAGAGGCTAGAATGACTACTGGCTTTCTCTTCCCTGAAAAGCACACCGCCTTATTGGAGTCACTTCATCACTGTGACATGACTTTAAACTGTCATCCGTTTTGGCAACATCTTACTAGATTTTTCAGGATTATATATTCTGGAAAAGGCTTAATGGGAAAGTTGCTTACAATAAGGCTCATTGCCCTGTATCTCCTACAATTTGGGCTCCATTACATAGGCAGTGCCAATTCCCACAGTTTCAGCTCCAGTCCTATAAGATCAACAAACTGCTGGCTTGTCAGCCACCTGGTTATGACTGCCTGATAGTCCTATTTCTTCTATTATAAGAAAAGATAAATGGCCAGAAGGAAAAGATGCCTGCAACATTTCAACTCACCTCTGCTATTCTTTCCTCTCTGAAATTAGGGACCCTTTGACCACTGTTGCCACAGAAACGCTCTCCTACCTTCAAAATAAATGTCTTTTATTTTTAATAATGTCTCTTATTTTGAAATAAAATGTCTTTTATTTTGAAATAAATGTCTAGTCCTAGTTGTTAGTGGGAATTCTAGGATAACACAGAGACAAAAGTTCTACACAATTCATTTGACTACAATGTAGTGAAAGTACTTGGGGAAAGTTTGATTGGGAAAAGGGAAAAGGTACAAGACACCTAACTGTAATTGAGTTTTTATACCATATTAAAGAACTTTATTTCTATAATGGGAAGTTGTAATGGAATTTAAGCAACAGGGAAAGATTACTGGTCTTGTATTTTCTAAAAATAACTTTGCAACCATGACTGGTTTTCCGAAGGAGTATGAGAAGAGAAGGCCTCTGTGAAAGAGGATGGGCAAGAAGCAAGGTGTTGATTCGATTACGATTGACCACTCTCTGTTAGATGCTCAGGACTGAAAGGTAACAGACATTAATGATACTTAAAATCTTCAAACTGATTAACAGTCTCACATGTAAGAGAAAACAATTTCTAGTTTTCATACAGTTTGCAAAGAAATATGTACTCACTAAATTCACAGTTACATGAAATATCCTTATACATATTTTATTAAATAAAGTCTAGTCAACATATGTTCATATGAATACTAGGATATAGCTCCAATCCTCTTATTTAACTTCTAGTATTCAAGCCTTTGATGAAAATTATTGAGATCTTGTCAGGTGCCTTTAAGTAGACAAAGATTGCTGCCATTTGAAAATTTTTATTTTAGAGGTTGAGGTACAGAAGTATAATAAATACAGTAAGCCAGGAAACAATGTATGAGAAGGCAATAGTGTTATGGAAAGAAAGAAAGTCAGAGTAGGAAAGGAGTTTTGGAAGGTAAGAGAAGGGATTTGCAATTTTAAAATTGAATTACCAGGGTAGCCACATTTAGAAGACTTGAAGAAGCTGTAGGCAAAATTCCACGTTTTCATCTGGGCCTAGAAACACCTTCTCTAAGACATCTGGATGGCTAGCTACTCAATTCGTTTTGAACTTGTGATGCCATCTAACACTGGAGGACTCTTTTATCTGCTGTGCGAGAAAGAACGTAGAGGCAAGGATGGCATCCCCTGTGTTTGACACCAACTGAAAGTAGAAGACTCGGAGTAGAGCAGGTTTGAAAAAGATCAGAAGACTAATATTGCATAAGAGCACTGTGAATCAGGAGGTTTAGTAAGTTGCTGAATGCAAAAACCATGACCTGATCTGTAAGCTGGTACCTAATTTACAATATAAAAGAATTTAATATGAAATATAGAGTAGACAAACACTCACTCACTGATGCTAACTCATTTCTGACTCGTAGTGACCCTGTAGGACAGAGTAGTACTGCCCCCTTTGGCTTTCCAAGGCTGTAAATCAAAGCCTCATCTTTCTCCAGAGAAGTGGCTCAAGGATTCAAACTGCTAACTTTATGGTTAGCAGTCCAATGCTCAACCACTACACCACCATGGTTCTTTGCATATTGAATTTCAGAGAGATATCGGGACCAATGACATAAATGTGAGTGCTTTTGGTATTCTTATGGAATTTAAAGTTGAAGACCTGTATAGAATCATGAAGGGAGTGTATGTGGACAGACAAGATCAAATCCAAGAGAAAAAAACATGAAGTCCTAGAAGTCAAGGGAAGCAAGTCTAACGAATGGGATGGTCAACCTTATCAATTGCTGCTGATGTGTCAAACTCCATGAGAGCTGATTCAATTTACCGAACTCGGTAGAGTCACAGCAATGGAAACCACTGATGACAACATCATACTCAATGCTGGGTTTGGTTTGACTTTGCTTTTGTTTTCTCCCTCCATCAGCAGAGAGAAGATTTAAGAGAGCCCAGGAGAGAACTTAAAGAGCATGAGTAGAGTCAATTGTTTGGGGAAATTGATTACAAAGTAGAAATATTTGTTTAAAAGAGATATTCCTAATGAGAAGAATAGGTTCAACTTATCTAATAGGGATTAACTTAAAATTTATCAATCATTTTCAAAAGAGAGTTAAAATCTGTAATATTCTATTGTATTTTAGTGAGAAAACCATTTTTATATATAAATTTTTAATGTAGTGTTTCTACAAAAATATTCAAGAACAAACAACTATACATTTAATCCTAGATGGGTGTTGTATAAGTAAGCAAGGAACTATTGGGATAATAAAGCCAACAGCCCTACTAGAAAGATCTGTAAATAATTATTTCTCCATCATTTGCCGGTCAAAAAAATGTAGCTATGTAATAATGATAACTGTACAATTTGCTGGTGCATTTTAGTTGTTATGCCACAATTTTATTATAAATTTGATGATCCTACAGTTTATATTGGCAAATTGTTTAGAAAATCATTATCTAATAAATTTATTAAAACGGAAGAATGAAACACCACCCATGGCTTTCAAGTCAATTCCATCTCATATCAGTCCTCCAGAGGGTTTTTAAGATGGTAACTCTTCTGGGGAACAGAAAGCCTCAGTTTTCTTATTTTCGAGCAGTTGGTGGGTGTGAACTAGCCACTTTGTGGTGAGCAGTCCAATGCTAATCCCATGACCCTCCATAAAACCCCAAACCAAACTCACTGCTATTGGGTCCATTCTGACTGATGCCTCGGTGGGTTTCTGAGACTATAACTACTGACAAGAGCAGAGAGCCTCATCTCTCTCCCACAGAGCAGCGAATGCTTCCAAACGGCTGACCTTTAGCCAAATAAACTGTGGTTGATTTGTAGCCTGATATGTCCACGGCACCACCAGGACTCTCCAGGACTCCATAAGAGGAAGGAAAGGTTAGGGGAAAATATCCCAGTGCCAAAAATATGTACTACTTTTTAAAGAATTAAAATTAAAAGTAGATGAATAAAATAACATCATAATGAAAATTTACATTATTGTGTTTTGTTGTCATGTTTATTTATTTTTTAAGCTCAATTGGTTGGTTTCATTGATATTTAAAATGTAAAGTACTACAAAACCTAGAATTGCATCTTGAAACTTAAAGTATAAAAGAAATTACAATTTTCTACAAATAAATAAAATATGTGGTGTAACCAGAGAGCTACTATTTTGGGAGCAGAACAGGATTAGACATTTTTAATGATACAAAACATAATATAGTCAAGATAATATTTTAAAGTGTACATATAATTGATATATTTATAATATATTATTGATATTTATAATAAATATATACAACATATTTATTATATTACATTAAGAAATCACTCTAGAATTTTTAAATACAATGCTATCATTATTATGAACACCAACTATTTATTATTTAAAAGTATACATTTCTGTTAATGTATATACTGTATACAATCTGTTAATGTATATAATCAGTTCATCTTAATTTAGATAATTAAGATAAAATCAAGTTTTCAATCTAACCCCAAAATTCCACAAGTCTATTATTTTGATAAATATATACTATTTATTCCAATAATTTTACTTTCTATGAGTTTTCCCTGTACATTTTAGAGAATAAAAGATCAATTTATTTGTAAAACTCAATATTAACAATCTTTATTAATGTATTAAATTGGCTTTGTTTAAAATAATTGCTTTCAAAATAACTATTTTTCTCATCCATCACATAGACTAATGGAACCTAGAGCTAATTCAGGAGCATGAGTGGTGTGGCAGGTGACAGGTTGCACTGCAAACACAAGGTCAGCAGTTCTGGAGAAAGATGAAGCTTGGTACTTCTGTAAAAGAGTTGCAATCTTGGAAATCTGCACCGGCAGTTCTGGTGTGTTCTACAGGGTCACTATATGACAGAATTTACTCAAAGGCAGTGAGTTTGCATTTTGGAGACATAACTCATTCTGGGGTGCATGTTTTCAAGAATTATTGACGCCGTGACTGCACAGTGGTTAAAGTACTCAGCCGGGGATCAAAACATCGG